TTTAACCCGTGTGATCGTTTTTATCATTGTCCGTTTTACGTTGATTGGGTAAATTCGAGGAAATATAAAAAACCTACAGATGGAAATTCGTGTAAACAAAGTGAAGTGTATTTCGAAAAGTTTGGCGCATAATCTTAAGGAGATACTTGACATAGTTCAATTAAAATCTACACACCCGAAAAAGGCAAACGACTATTCAATACCGAGATGCATTAGGAACAATACGAATACAGCAATGGTATGGTGCAGGTTCATTAATTCCTCCTTACCACCTTGCACTGGCGATCGTACAGACCAGGCATATTTCACTGTGTCACAATCGATCACTTTGGTACTGGTCGTTCAAACCCATATGGATGACAATAAATCGTTAAAAGTTTTTCCCTGAATGACTTCATCTGGCAGTGTTGGATGACTACGGACAGAACCCATGTTCGAACTGGCTAGATTTACAGTAGCCCACTTTTGGAGAATCTATAGAAGGATGAAGTACTGAGAAACGATGAGTTTCTTTAGAACGATCATTGCTTAAATTGAGATCGTGTGAAACATTTCAGAAAATTGGGGAAGCTCAATTATGTTTCAGTGGTTGTGCCTACCGTCTCCGTGATCTGGCGTATCAAGTTCGGAAACGTCACCAGAGAAACAATACAGAGAAGAAAAAATGGAAACCCTGAAAACTCTACAAGGTAACCTTTGCCGGTCGACAGGAGTCCGCAGTTTTGTAACAGCAACTTTTCGTAACCACAAGATCAGCTGATTTCGCTGGGTCTGAAATTTAGGATACCAATAAGAACAGGCCAAGTTCATTAAAAATTGCCAACGGAATATAAACACATATAGCCAGTAAAATAACAAGTGCATGGCCCCTAGATAAAGCCGGTGAGTTTGAAGCTAAACTAGTCAATACCTCTCATCAGTTTCAATTCAACCCTAGTCGTCAAATGCGTTGACCGAAGTCATAACAACCAGTTGATATAAAAAGGGAAACAAATGAAAAACACGACACTTTTCCAAACAGGTAATGACTCCCTAGTCAGGCTTATTCAGAAAATCTTACATTGATGATTCTTTTTTCAGTAGGCGCTGGTAGATCGCAATTTTCCATCTCCTCAATCCCCCGTGCCCCAGTCACCGAGGGTGGTATTCCCATATACACTTCGACAGTTGTTCGATCTATGCAGCTGGTATACTGGCCAAATTAGAGGAGCAGATGCACATAAACACCCAAATTAACGAAATGAAGATAAAAAGTAATATTTTGCGAGAGAATGGCCGTCCGGACCACTTCCTCAGCGCACAATTAGCCCAGATCCCTGAGGACCCTAGGTGGCAAGGCGGGGGAATTTGGCGGCAAACAGAACCCTTTGTACCGGCTGTCACCCAACGAGGTCAATCAGACGATGAACTCGGTGAAACGAGAAAGTAAACGGTTAGATGCGCGGGGAATCGGTCTGAGGAAACAGTATCTTTGAGTTGGAAATGAACTGCGAGGCTGAAGGGAAACTGATGCATAGCATCACTGTTGTGAACATTTTACCTAGTTTGCCTCACTGCTCATTTGTACATCGTAAAATAATATTCATCACAGACGGGACAGAACAACGTTGGATTATTGCTCTGCATAAGGTCCGACTGACGAATTGTCGAAAACAGCTTCTTTCGCTGATCAGACTGTATTTTCAATGTCTTGATGAACATGTTCCATAGACTAAAGTTTTATGAGTCAGGAAACGGTTTACAAGAAACCCTACGTCAGAAAATAACATATTCCTCAAGGAAAAAGTGTGTAGCCTATCGCAAGTGTTATTTCTTCGTCAACCTACTCAATTTTATTCACCCTAAATTTTATGTACCCCATGAAGAGGAATACGATGCTCATCTCGCTTCTCTAGACATTTATTTTACACACGGCACATAACATCGCACAGACCAAAATAAAACGGAGCGGGAGATGCCTAGTTTCGCTGGAGTAGCCTATAAACGGGACCCCATCAAGCCCCTCTTGTAGGGGCATGTATAACTTAACACAGGAGAATAAATAAAGCGGGTAACCACAAAAGAACAACCAAACGAATATTTTGAGGATCCTAATGAACATCATAGGAAGAAGAATGAAATCAAATAAGCCCTGAGGGCGAAAATACGCCAGATATACTACTTCCGCTCTTTTGGTAGGTTCTTCTAGCAAATGAGTCAGATTATCGAATTCGCTTTGAGAGGCAGAGTTACGACAGCTACATTGTGTGGAATGTAAACCAGGTGCTGCAATCTACAGTGGTAAAACGGATCAATGTCCGGCACAAGTAGTGAGCGACATAACTAAGCGGTTTATGACCTGATGACGCGAACAGATACAATAAATCTGGCTTCATCCAGTGCAATAAACAATTCAACAATAAGTTGACCCGACCCTATCATTCAAAGTATTTTTGCTGAACCGCAGTCCGGAATGGCTGTTTTTCGTGAGGGTGGGAGGTGATTGCGAAGTCAACCATGCGTATAACCTGGTAAAGAGGATTTTTCAGAATATCTTTAAACAAGCAGATCTAGAGGACCTGAATCTACTGCACTGCTAATACGTGAAGAAACCAATATGCTACAGCTCCGCAGTAATCTCATTTCATTATTTCAACACGTAACCAATTACAGAGAACTGGACAATATGCCACAACATATGACCAAGAAAAATGTAGAATGCATTCATAGGTTGCATGAGCATGTGATATCCCGGTTGCCCTTGCCGAGGTAAAGGATAACCTCAGGGTCCCAACCCGAAGCCCTTGGCTAGAAAGCCAGATCTGCAAGACGGAGCGCTAAGTCCGCAGTCCATTGAGAGCTGGTGTCCAGTTCATCACATCAAACGCCCTTTGGACGGGATCAAACGTCCAAGGTGCTCAATACATCTCATTGCCCAATTGAGTCACTGACCACTGCCACATCCAGGAAGGCGTGCGTGTGGTTCGTACACCTCTTCTTATGTGGTTTGGAATCAGGGTTTTTAGCCAACCCCCCCTAGGTGAACTACCAGTGGTTCACCAACCCGCTTATAGCCCCGGATGCTGGCTTTTCGTCCTCTCACGTTGGTGGGAAAACACCTCCGACACGGGAAGGCAGTGAGTCGGGCTTCCTCAGCAGAGATTATTTGAGACGCTTGATCTTATAGGAGCATTTCGCGAGTTGTAAGGGAATGGTGACCAGTCATAATCCGAGACACCCACTCTGACCACACTGAGGCTTTCGGAGGCTGCGATCTTGGTTCATGATTCTGCCCTATGCTGGAACCAAAGAGGAAACCACATTTCGCGCTTATCCAGTATACAAAACCTATCGTCAATGCCTATGAAATGTTCTGCACTCCTGAGTGCTGACAGGACAGTAAAAGAATCGCCACGAATGACTCCGAGGGATCATCAAATTAATATGGGCGAGGTCACACACCTTAAATAACGAAGTAGTTACCGAGCGCAAATTAAGGCCGTGTGGTTCATTGCTGCGATTTCAGGCGTTTACACTTCAAAAGCAAATCACTGACTTCGGGTTTCATCACTTTTGCTCGTTATATTATGTTGGATAAAAAAAGCGATCTGAACGTAACCAGGTGTGTGTTATTATACGACGGCATGATATATTGACCAGAGTTTGGTCATAGACACCCATCAAATCAATTTTCAATTGCAGTTCATTGATTGATTTATCATCGCTCTAACACATGGGAGAAAGACGATTGATCACAGCGCGATGACGTTGAGACACAAGACTCAAATCTAAGGCACATTACCGTGCATATTTGATGTCATTTTAACCCGAACTAAAGCTGCCACTTATCCAGTTTTGGCTTCCGACAGCTGCGCGTGGTTAGTTGTAACCCGAAACACTCACTCATCAGGTTGCCCAACTCTTGTGAAGAAGCTAGCGGTCTGAGAGCAAACGTGAACAGCGAAGTGAAAAAGAGAGGTCTGGTGGATTCACCCAGAAGGAATACATACATAAGGCTCTCGAGCCTTTCCACTACAGCAGTTGTGATAAGTGAACGCTGCATGTCGAACAGGTTCGCAACACAGATGTTCGTGAATTGAACAAGCGATTGCGACGGATCTGATCACAACGAACAACCAAGATCAAAATGGTTCAACTCAATCAGAACTCGGCCCGTGTAAGACAGTGTCTGTGGTCGACGTCCTTCGGAATCTACAATCAATGTAAGTCAATCATTCATTCGTGTATTATTATATTCCGAGCCGACATGACAAAAAAGGTCACCTAAGGAAATGGGACACAAACGCAACGGCCAAGCAAATCCTGATAAAAGCCACTGGTGATCGATAATTAGTGAACCACTCCTACCTCCCCACGCCCAACTATGGGACAGCGAATCGTAACTTGACACTGATTTGACAAACATGCTTTTACCCGAAATCTAGTGAGCACATGTGGAAGCAAGAACGTGCATAACAATACGAAACCGGGTTAGTCAAACAGACCATTCAACAGAGAGAAATATGTCAATCCATGGTGGTATCCAGTAAGTCAGACAGAAAGAAACAGGGTTTGAGTCAACTGAGGTGGCTGGATGTGAGACTCCATGAATGACTTTCTCGAACTCGTCTTGAGCGGGTACATGGTGAGTGTAAATGAGGATGATGATTCCTCCGGATACAGCGGTGTATTCGTTTATCAGATTGTACAGTGTGTTCCGCTTTCGTGCTCAACTTGCAAATCATCCACCGTGCGGAGACCGGATAGAAAAGCGATGGATTACGTGACCGATGAGTTAGTTGGTCTTCTTAAGCAGATAGGCAAAGGAGTTTGTGCTCGAAATCGCGAACGGAACAGTATTTATAGGACGCATACACACAGACGAGTGGAACGAATATTGTGTGTCTGGCTGAAAGGTAAAAGCTAAGTACCAGGTTCTGTGCTGGATGCAAAAACCATGAGATGAAAATTAATTTTGGGCAACAAGGTAGCATTATAAAGCACGACCGGGAAATACATGATCATTCGGGGGTGCGATTTGGCATGTGAGTATCACGGCCGATGTCCACTTCTAGTTCTTCACTATTTTCTTCCACGGTCAAGGCATCTTCTTCATCCTCTTCTTCTTCGGGCGAGGAAACGAACTCTTCCGGGAAGAAAGAATGAGCTTTTAATGCATTCAAGAAATGAGACATTCCAGCGGATCGATCAACCGGATTCTCAAAAGGCCAATTATCTGAGTTTGAGTTGGGCAAACGGTTGGGCGGACCGGGTAGTGTTCCAGTGCGTTGTGCAGCCACAGGTTCAGTGGACGAGGACTTGTTCGCTGCACCATCCTCGGAACGAGCTACCGCGCCGACTTCATTAGAGTAGGTTGATGAGATACCCAACATTTCACGTAGACCAGCATTTTCTGAGCGCAAACGATGCAACTCCTCCTCCAGTTCGGTGGCATAAGCGTCACCTTGATCGCTTATGTCCATGGCTAATGCGGCCAAAGCTGCTAGCTGTTCATTTACCATACGAGAATTGGGTGCACTTGCCTCGGGCATTAAGTTACGAATTGCCGAGTTCCCTGGCTTCGCAGCAGTCGTTTGAGCTGAACCACTGACCGGTTGAGCAGTACCACTTGCAGCCGAAATGGTTGAATCCAAGCCGGTAGACTTATTGGTTTGCAGTGCATTGGAAACTGTGCCCAAAGGGTTCTTCTGGGAATTAAGCGAACTGTAGTTGCTTCGTATCAAGTCCTCAATCTGGTTTGTGCGCATCAATTTAGACACCTGTATAGAAAGAGGTGTAGTGACACAGGTAAATAATAACTTAAAACTGTGACCACTCAAGCCTGCAAAGGTTCATTTCGACGTGTCATAGCAAGTTATTTAGAAAAAATCGCGCTAGAAAATATGCTAGTCAGACGCCGATTATTGTCCAAGATGAGTAGACTGAGAATTCGCATACGTCATTTATTGCAGACCACATATTCAGACCCGCAACATTCTCCGAGGTTGGATTACATAGTGACATTTATGAGCAATGAGAAAAATCCATACTACCAAGTGTTCTATAAGTGTTTCAATGAACCACTTAGTTCAAGTAATGAGGGACATACTGTTACTTATCCTGGCGTCAGAATTGAAAAACTCAAAAGTTCAGTTCGGTTCGCACAACCATTGCTTTTGATTTTCCTCAGTCAGCTTACTTTTACTGGATTTTGAAATCCATGAGATATTCTAAGNNNGGATGAATTTATCAAATTAAACATATTCAACCAAGGATTCAATAGCACTTGGTTCTGTTTCAGTTTTTACAACCATTAAACATGCATCATCGTGTGCCGGTTTTGGTTGCTATCTCATGATTGTCAATTGAATAAAAGAGCAGAAGGAAGAATGGCAGGTAGCAAGCAAAGTCAAAGAGAAAACAGAGAATTAACATGGGCCACTTTTGTAAGGATAATGAGTAGATGCATGAGAGCGCCTATATTCGACACTCGGCCATATCAATCAATACCATCAAGGGGTTCTTTAGGAACATTTCGGTAGCTACAATGCAATAGCAGAGGAGCGTCGGAAGCTCTAGTCGTTCAATTTGTGTTCCGGAATGAGTTACATTACCACATTATCGCAAGTTTTAGCACAATATTACGCGGCTACATTCACGATAAAGAAGTAATCTTTCCATCCATCTGATGTGCGAGCACAAGAGAAGAGTGGTAGGTTTGTAGAATCAGACAACCATCTCGTTGGCATTGGTGTCCATAGTGAAAGACTAACGGGGACACTCACATAAGACTACATCCACACGGACATCGTATTGCGTATTATCCGATCCTCTTCGCACTCATGACGATACTCCACAGGATTCGAAAGCAATCGCGCGGAGCGATATTAAAATTACCTACACTACTTGGCCATCAGCGAATCAAAAAGACACGTAGGCGATGCACATGAAATTGTAGTCAATCGGACGGACAGCGACGATTAACCCAGCGCAGACAACCGCCTGTCCCTACTTCTCCCATCTGGAAACTCCCTAAATCTTATACGCGATAAATTGAAATCAACTGCATTGCAATCACCTACCGCTGACGAAGATCGATTCCATCACATCGGTTAACATCCGTGGATACGGACTAGGCTCCGTTACGAGTACCACCCCCACTCCAAGGAAACCTTTCGTCGGTGTAGGCCACCGCAAGGTGTGCCTTGTCCTAAAACTTCATAAACATCTAGAAAACCTTTTCTCGCCTGCCATTCAGAGTATATCACTTGAATTTTGAGCACCAAGGTAAGCTAGGAAAACGCTTTTGGACTGATGAAACCAAAATCACCCCTTCGTTTAATAGCATCGATGTCCACTTATTGCGCATTTTAGACCCAAACTGATACTTGTGCTTCATTCTCTGTGCATCAGGCGATTTTGGAAATTGACGCTAGTGGTGTTACCGGTAAGCGAATTGCACCAGGCACCAAAGCTGGGCGATCAATTTTTGACTGGATTCCAATTGGTAACCGAGTTTGCACCGTACTTCTTGATGGTTCACTTCGGGTTACTAGCAAGATAATGAAGTATCGTTGCGTATTCGTCTTGCCGGTGCAACCAAACACCGATTGCAGTGCACTTAAGGATGATTCCTACAATGACCTCTGCCGACTGCTCCAAACTTTTTGATCAGTGGACGTCGTAGTAGTCGCTCAAGTTAAATCCCTGGATGAATCAGAAGGGCACCTATTCAGTCCATATGTAATTCCATCCAATTGGACGGCCAATGGAGATGACCTACTAACTTTGGGCAATGGAGTGCGTGTGATAGGCACAACTTGCGCTAAACCATGCAGCGGGTTGTAGGTTAAAGACGGTCAAACTAAGACTTGGCATAAAAACCCCAGCCATGGAACTCGATCATATAGGTCGCGTTAGGCTTCCTGGATGGGAACTTCGGGATCGCTGAGTGGAGACACTAGGCGAAATGGCTGGTTATCGTAAACAGTCTTTCGTGTATTTATCCAATCCATTTGAAACCTTACTCCACCTGCATTCCTGTTTTCCGCTTGATACTACTTCCAGCATTCCAGTTCATCGATTGATTGGTGTATTAAAGAGAACGCCGAAAAAGTAAATAAAACCGCCGCGCGATATTGCAAGATTATTGATAGCTGAAACAGAAGCTGAAACATAACTTGATTACGTGTTTAAAGACATCCAGATGGGAAGTGAGTTGTGAAAATGAAACTGATAAAAATTGTTATTTTTAAAATGAAGCGTAAATTTTCACATGATCAATATGAGTCCCGATCTGTTCCCGTACATTAGGAATAAGTTTCGCACGCAGATCATTGCAGGCACTTTTTTGCACAGGTGTGTGTCTGAAGTATTACACAGTAATGGAACGCAACAACAACAACAAAACGAGAAGTAAATAAAAAGGAATAGGTACTGATGAGCATTAACCCCGTCACAATGAACGATTCGATCGGCTCCTAGCATTCGAGGTTATGTTGGTTTTGGAGAGTTCTCCGAGCTGGAAGTGTTGTTCGCAGACGTTTCGTAGCCAAGCTAGGCAACATCATCAGTGCCCAGCCTGGCTACGAAACGTTTGAGAAGAACACTTCCACCTCGGAGAACTCACCAACATCAACATCCGCATCCCGGACTACAATCCTTCCACATCATTCGGGGTTGTAGTTAAACCGGACACGAAAGTACCCGTGATGACACCAGATACATTATGATCGAAAAGGCAGGGGAAAAACTACGTAGTCTACAGTTGTTAGTGGAACAAGGCGATGCAATTCAAACGAACCTGTTTACGATATTTGGACATGACAATGTCTAGAGCCACCCGATGTTCATTTAACGAGTCAAAAAGTGTCAGGTTTTCCGATTGCAGTTGTTCCAACTCTTGATTTTCCGCAGCCAAACAGAGAATCAATTGACCTCTTGGATGATTGGTCAAACGTTTAGAAAAATCAGTGATGCTGAGGGACAATTCTTGACACTGAAGAAACAAAATACACCATAGTATGTAAGCGAAGAAAATAATTCTGCTTGCAAACGAGAGCGTTTGATGAAAACTTTTAATGTGAGGAGATCATAGAATTATTGAAATTCACAGTGATACACATGCAGTTCTTCGTTGCTATTCGAGTACTCATACAAAAACAATGATATGCACAGTAAGATAATAGAACATGCGTCAAAAAGTTATCCGCCGATCTGTTATCAACGCATAAAAGCTGAAAGCTTGCGAAACAATATATCCAATTACCAGGCATAAATGAGAATTTATCGGATCTGCTGCGACACAAAATAAAACTGGATCACTATTAAATTACTCTTCACTTTCATTAACTGGGTGGTGGTGGCTCAGTGGCTTAGTCGCTGTCACCGGCGTACTTTCGACCCTATGGTCCGAGGTTAGAGCCCCGCCACCACCACCCGACTTCGGTGGTAGGTAGCTCTGCTGTCGTCCGGTTCAATACCACGCTTAACCTATCGGGACCTTATGTGGTTCGCCACTCCAAGTCCCGAGGCTTAGGTTCCTGGTTTCCACCACTGAGCAGCAGGTCCTCGTGACTATGGGGTTCGCCCCCTCTGCTGTTCATCACACTTAGGTGTAAAATAAAAAACCGTAACCTCGTCTAGCTTTCCAGCTCCGTAGTAAGCACATTCTTAATAGATGTTTTGTCTTTTCCATCTATTTTCACATCAATTGAATTTCTGGGTCAACCAGACTGATATAAAAAGCAGAACAATTTGGAGGCGACAAAGTGCACTTTAGAGGACGGAAGGTTATCACTAATATGAGTTTGGTGGGGTATTTACGGTCACATGAATAAGGGAGCTCCATCGGTTTCATCACCGAACAAGAAAATATGACTATGGTTTACATAAGCAATCTTAAAATACCGTTAACAACGCAATGCATAAGCAAAACGGAAAGCAAACCACATTCCACGGAGAGATTAGGACACAGATAGGGAGAGAAAGAAATAGGGACACTGATCCCGGGATCGATTTAGTAACTGGAATGGACAGTAACAGCAACAACAACAGTATGAAGGACCACATACCACTTCTTTGTGCATCATCTGTTCGTCCAACTTCAGCACCTCGTGAGTCACTTCGTCCACCGCATTTTCATGTTCTCGCATGCGATTGACCAACAACTGCAATTTTTCCACAACTTGGTCCAGTGAATATTTCATGATGACTAGTCACGAAACTAAGACAGGAAGACGAGCCACGGACCCTCAGATCACGCGAAATCTGACACGGAATGGAAATGTCACGTGTCAGCCTACGAACGTTCACGTGATGACAGGCACTGGAAGGAAAGAAAAATGAAGCACGTTGAAAACAATCGGAATTGCCAGTGATCAACACAAACACTGGATGCAAAGACCCAGGGGAGACAGCGAGAGTATTTATGCTATAACCTCGCTCAGAACAGAACTTCAAATCCACAGTGAGGCTTTTCAAATGTATGTTCACCTGAGATTCAGTTGCTACCATACTGTATAATATGACGAAGTAACCTTACACACTCTGGTTCAATTACAATTAGACTGACGAACACGTATGTAATGATTCACTCCGATCCGCAAGAGAAATTCAGATAGCTATGTGGAAAAAAAAACTTTATTATACCAATTAGTTTCCCCTTATTACACGATAATGTTATCATGATTTAAGCGGCAAATGTGATCCCGGGTTACGATACGAGATCAATGCCGACTGGACAGCCTCGGTCAGTGACACATTCTGTAGGGACGTACAGCCAACGCCACTTTTCAGCAGTGTTTGTTACCTTCTTCAAGCTACCAACAACTTTCAGCACGCACGTTCAAACCGCAATCACGTCTTTTCCGATGACACCACTCCACACTATGTTCTACCTCACCCGTCTTCTCAAGTGAGCTACCGGTAATATTGAAAGAGACTGTCACCACTAACGAGTAATTCAATACGGATCTCGAATGCCTGGGTAACCGAAAACCGTGTGCTTTCCAATACTTCCAAATACTCGGATTCTACTAGCTCATTCAAACAGCACGTCTTATATCCAATTATTTATTCTCAACGGATTTCACAAATTCAAGCTCCTTCTCTGGACTATCTTTCAATCCACTTTTTATGGACAACCCCCAGTAAACGCTAGTCTTTGATATTACGTGCAAGCCTGCTTTTTTGCTTAAATCCGAACGACTTTTTCCTTCGTTCTGTTTTCCCCTTCTGTGTAACTCAACAACACGCACTATCCATGAAGGCTTCAATCACAAAGGGGGCGGAGCTCCGTCTTTTTTCTCATTACCTCTAAATCCGATTTCAAAAAAATCCATTCGCTTCACCAATGGTATAACCCTCAGTTTATTCTTACATTTAGGGACACGTTCTCGAGTGGTTAGTTCTTTGAATATCACACCGTCACTGCTATAGATTTTAATGATATGAGGAAGTCTGAACTGTATTTAGACCCTTATTTCTTGTGCGGTAGTCTCGTGCATTAAGACGACTATGCATGGGTTCTGCGGTTAGTGAACATGTTACGGCTTATCTGTTTCCGAAACCGGAAGGAAAAGCTAACGATTCTCACTGCTCCAGAACAGAACAACGGGAATCTCCAAAAACGGCCAGTGACAAGAAATTACCACAATACGATCGTAAATACAAATGGAAAGTTACGGGGACAATAAGGAAAAGAGAAAATAGGTACAAATGTAAATGTTGTATTTGAAGATGTTTACATCACGTCCCGATGCGGAAAATTATTCAACATATCCATAGGGACGAACGGCAGCAAAACGACAGTACTGTACACGGGAAGTGTGAACTGGGTACATTCACAGAATTGCAAATTGTTGATAGAGCACCTGGCGCACATCGAAATAGGTACGTGAGAGTAAACCTTCCAGAAGTAGTTTTCCTGCTTCCGAGCGTTTGATTGCCACACAATTGTCGACAACCAAAACGCCACTTACGAATTCCGCTTGAAGACCCCGAGTGAGCAGTAGTTGTTTGAGCTTGAACAGAAAAATGAGCGCGATGATCAGACGAAAAGTAAATCTTAGAGTGCAAGAGATTAAACTGGATGTTGATCAGCAGTACATAACAGCGACGTCGAAAATAAATAGAAATCATCATCCGCATATTCTATTTCACTATACGAATGAAGCAGTCCCATTGATAATTTAAATCAAAAGAAGCTGGAGACAAACTTTCAAGGACACACGGTTACCTAATCATGCCATTTGATCCTACTTGTCACGATTGTCTTCCCCAAACTGTTACAGAAGAACTACTGCAAGACTCCGACTGACCGATTGACAACATCCCACAAATTCATCAGGCGGTGAATAAAGATCATCCCCGTAGTTTGAACTCAAGGCGGAAATCTGTTCCTCGAATAAGACGACGAGAACGTATCCGTAACGCTTGTGTGAATCATTATCTTTTATTCTGAGTGTTTTTGTCAACTAAAGAACAAGGTGGCTTCATGGATGAATCCATGAAGAAGGATAGGGGTGTAAAACCACTCGACGCTTTACTTCGAGGGCGCACCACTAGCTCTTACACAATCAATTAATATGTGCAAGACAACAGGGTGGTGACGTCCACTCTACCACTTCGGATATCGTTGCTGATCGTCCACGACCGTTGGATCAGAGTAACAATACCTGATTCCTCGCGGGTAACCGTTTAATCGAGCGTTGTATATTGTATTGTATTTCATACACGTCTGAAATCAGACTGTGTACCAAACAAGTCAAGGTACGATAACCTTTATAAAAAGAAACACGTTCCATGATTTGCATGTGGGCGGAATACTGCCAGGCTGTCCAGGCCCAGGAGTTCATCTATTCTTAATTTGGAGAATTACCTGGTGTTACAGAACTCCACTGACGCATGGTATCTTAGTGGTATCAGAACCTGGCATCTCATGCGGATTTTCGAATGTTGGGCAGAAATCAAGTCTTTAGTTTAGGCATCTCTCGGATCATATTACAAAATCTAGCATTCAGAATGTTTTTATTATAAATAAAAAATAACAATAATAACAAAAGAATACAATTTACTGCTCTAAAAATATATCATCAAGTCGATAGAAACAACAACGTGGTGAAATCTATTAACGAACTATTTAAAAAGTTTCCTCAAATCACCCCAAATCATTGTTTCAAAGCCATAAGAACGATTGAGCACCTACTCCTCTGAAGGTAGCTAAAGTTTTTCCCCCTTTAAAGAGACTGTTCGAATAAATCTTTGTTCAATGATCCTCGCCCGCGATCATACTACCACTGTTCTTTTCATCACGTACGCTAGAAAAGCGACAACTTTCACCTCGAATGCATAGCAATATTTCATTTGGTAGAAACAACACACTCACGTCTGAAAGCTTCGGTTCGTTGACGAATACGGTCTTATGTGGCCCGACAGGACAAGTGGGCAAATTCAGGACAGGCAACTGATCGGCTGCCAATGGTGTACGCGCTTTTAAGGCATCCGGATCGGATTCGGTATCCTGTTCAACAGCTTGCTCGTGAGGTTTCGGTTGGTCTGGTGTCTGATGCTGATCCAGCGATACGGTTGCTTCTACCCAAGCCAGTTCGTAGTCACGTATTTTAGTGAACTTCAGACTAGAGACTAAACTATCCTTCATGCGAGCCTGTGGTGAATGGCAATAAACGTGCATTATAAAACTGAAAACATTGCAAATGATTTTACCGACATGACTACTGATTAGGAAATAAGTAGTTGAAAAGATTCGTAAGTTAATTCTTCATAAGCGGGGGGGGGAGGAAGTAGCCTCCATGCATATAAGAGAATGTCTAATAAACGTACAATGGAATAAAGAAACGATTGATTATGTTTAGTAGCATATATTTTCAGAGGAACATCCTACCGAGATAAAGCTAAAACGGAAAACCGTTGCAGTGCTACTTATGATAGCGGCGTGAGCCACGGTTAAAGTCAAAGTCAAAGTTTTATTATGGGCGATTTAACAAAGCAAAAGCTTATCGTGCCCCAAAGGATTTTTACAGAATCTTTTGAATAACTTCACAAAGAGAAAATAACAATGATAATAATGTGCATGAACACTCTCGATGGTCGGAGAAGTATTCGAACTTCATTGGACAGCTACCGTCCGTCCAAGCTGGGCAGCCACCAGCCAATAAGGTGCTGTCCCGTCCACGTTCCGCTTGTCTCATTGGGTGCATGAGGCTAAAGGCCGATCCCGAAAAGTGGACCGATAGTCAACGCACCAGCGAACAACAAACTTAACCGAAATTCAAAGGCCTTGCGTGACAGGTCTCTAGAAACTCCCACACGGGTGCTCCGTTCAAGCCCCCGCGTTGGATTTACGCCCCACTGCCTTGTGGGTCAGACTTTTGAGTCAAAGGCTCCGATTAGGGTTCCCAAAGAAAAACCCCTTCGTCGGTGTGCGCACCCGCGAAGTATGCCGTGCCAAAAGTCCTAGCTACCCATTTGGAGAACCGTCTTCCTTAACTGTCTATTTCCTCTTCTCACTCCCATACCTCAATAGATACATCTTGTTTGCGCCACCCATCGGATACCACTCAGTGTTCAACTAATGAGGCCAACCACTCAGAGGCTATCAAATTTTTGAAACCAAAATCTCCTTTCCACCTAGCCGCATTTAATGTCCGTACACTCTATCAGATTGGACAACAAGCTGCTTTAGCTAAAACCCTTGAAACCTTCCATTTAGATGTATGCTGTCTGCGAAACACGCATACAAGATCCTACACCAGTCATCTCCCTCCGTTCTCCAGATCCAACCTCTACCTCAGGCTCCACTCTCCGTGTGTCAGACGATTCGGCATCCGAAGCTCGCGGGGTTGCTGGTGTGGGGATTGCGCTGAGTGTCAAGGCCAGGCGTTTACTTCTCGATTGGATCCCAGTTAACAGCCGACTTTGCGCCGTACGTCTGGATGGTTCAGTACGAGTCAACAGCTACAGTACGAAGCGTCGGTGCTTATTCGTCCTATCCGCGTATGCACCGACTGATTACAGTTCACCAGAAGTGAAGGATGAATTATACAAGGATCTCTCTCAACTGCTCCGAACAGCTCGATCAACGGACATCGCGGTGGTCGCTGAATCCTTGGACGAATCAGAGAGGCTGCTTGGAGGTTCACATGCAATCCCAGCCAACAGGACTGACAACGGAGAACGCCTACTCCAATTTGTGCTTACCACGGACTGTTTCCGTCAAGCACGAACTTCTCGCACAAAAAATGCTACCGTCTTACATGGAGACCACCAACCGCTTCACAGCGCTGGACTCAAATCGACCACATTGCCATCAACCACCGCTGGTGAGGATCCATTGAAGACTGCCGGTCCTACTGGTCAACAACCGTGGACACGGACCATGCTCTGCTACGAGCGAGATTCTCTCTACGCCTAGTAAACAAACGCAGAAAAGCCACCGAAAACGGATGCTCAAGATACAATGCCAGCAATGGTTGCAAATCGGCCTTCGAAGCAGAAATATCATATCTGAATTCACCACAACAATCAGCCGGAGGACTCAGTGAGCACTGGACGGCAATCAAGGAAGCGATCAAAATGTCAATCGAAACAACAGCAAATTCTGACTCACGATCAAATAAAAAACGATGGATCTTCCCGTCTTCGATAACCCTGTCGGACGC